AGAAAAAGTGTCATCAAGTGTCTTATTCATCAGCATATATACCATCTCTTTAAAATGACAGTGGGAGTAAAAGTTCATCAGTTCAATATGTCTTTCACATTTGGAGACTCCTGACTAATAACCTCTGGTATTTATCATCAGAACAGCCAAAGAACTAAATTCTGGCACACACTGTTCTCACGCACTGAGTAAAACTTAAAAAGACAGAAGATTTTCTTCATTTTTTCATTCTTCCATTCATTTAAAAAAAGGCATATCTTTTTTTAATTATAAAAATGATCATGCAGATACATCTGGCCTGTATTATCACAGCAGCCTCCTAAATGGCCTTCTTGTCTTCAGTTTGCCTTTTTAAAATCAAGTCTCTATGCAACAGCCAGAAAGATCTTTTTGGATCATAGATCTGCATTGGTCACTCTCTCACGTCACTGCCATATTTTTCCATGGCTCTAGAAGGCAAGTCCTTTGTAGCTACAGCTGCTGTCTCTCCTGCCTCCCTGCTTCCCTACTTCATGCTATACCAAAGGGTGTCCCCAGATCCAGGTACAAATCAGTTTATTCTTTACAAGCTCCTGCCAAGCTCTGCTAAATCTGGACCCCAGCATGGACCCCTATGACACCTAGCACTTGTCACTCTCATATGGAATGCAGCCCACAGTCTTGTTTTTGCTTGACTGGCATAATCCTTAAATTAAAAACAAACACACACACTCAAATCTCATCGAACAAGGCACATTATTGTTCAGTTTGCTTAAGACTCCATCAATCTATATCATACACCAAATCCTAATTACACATTTATTCTGTGCTGGGTTGTATAAAAGATACTTGTGCTAATCTCTTCCCCACTAGACTAGACTGTAAGCTGCTTGAAGACCAGGATTACCAACTTTATTATCTTTATTATTGCTAACTTTTATATCTGTAGACCTGACAGAGGCTGCTCAATAAATATTTATTGTGTAAATATCTGCCTTAAAAATATAAAATTAGGTCAGGAAAGACTCAGTCTGTCTTCCTGTCTTCTCTGTTCACAATCATTACAAGACTTGTAGAACTCTGGATCTGGCAGATATTAACAGTATTCTATAGGGGAATTGAAAGTCTGTGTTTATGATGTGATGTTGCTAAGATGGGACCACTTAGATAGGATGTTTAAACCTTTGTGATTATTCCTACCATTTCCAGAAAATCCATGTCTGTTCTTATGATTCTTCATAAGTAACCATTCTTTGTGTTTTGTTATTGTTTCATTTCCATTAAGGTGTACATACCCTTAGTTTTAATTCATGTCTGTGTGACCATCACATTCCCATCAAACAGTGCCATTCAGAAATATGAACGTAAGCTTTGTGCTGTGCAACATGCCTGTAATCTCAGCGGTTTGGGAGGCTGAGGCAGGAGGATTCTGAGTTCAAAACCAGCTTCAGCAAATTAGCAAGGCCCTACACAACTCAGCAAGACCCTGTGACTAATAAAATACAAAAATAGAGCTGGGGATGTGGCTCAGTGGTTCAGTACTCCTGAGTTTAATCCATGGTTACAAAAAATAAAAAAAAATGCATGTAATAGGATTAGATGTGTTATTTTATCTGCTTTGTAGGAGACCCTACAAAGTATAATCAGTGGGCATACCTGAATGTGGCTCCTGCCAAGAAGTAGTACATCCAAGATCTATATAAGCTGGTCATGCCAGAAATTATAGTAATGTAAATGCCCATTGGTTAACCTCCGATGTATCATCTTTTGGATAATCTAATATTTGTTTCTGTCATTGAATTTTTCTAGTTTTCTAGTTTTTCTCTTCTAGTCATTCAGTTACATGCTGCTTTAAAGACACTGAAAAAGATTTGGTGTCCCCTAGGACCCAGATTACTCATATTTATGGAATTTCATATAATCAGTGACATAGGACCATGGTACCTGCCTGTGGCAATGTTCTTACCATAAATCAAGTCTCCAGAGAATGCCTCACATTTTCAGGGAGTGGTATAGATGTTGCAGAAAGAATATACACCATATGTCATTTCTGAGGAAATGTGTTAGTAACCCAAGAATGGAAATGTGTCCAAATATCAAATTTAGGAAAAGAAAGCATGTTTATCTCTGCTTCCTTCTCTAAGGAAGAGGTGGGGGCAAAATATGAGAGCTTATTACAGAATCCTTTAGCAGCCAGAAATTTCATTGACAATTTTGTTAATGTATCTACTTGGCTACTTTCTCAGAGGCCTATTGTGAATTCCTTAGTTTATATTAATAGTTAATGGATGCACCTGAAAAATCAAGCAATATTGTACCATTTGGGTAATAGTTATGTTAGATGGTTTTTTAATACCGAGTCAAGCTTATCAGACTCTCTTTTTCCTAATAATGAATATCTCATCTTTTCCAATTTCCTAATCAAATGCTTCCACATCATCTTGAAACACAGCCAGATCCAGCTGTGTCTGTTCTATACTTTTGGCTTCAATTATATCGAATTATCCAGTCTGCTTAGAGGTCCTAAGGTTCTCTTTTGCTCTATGACATAGGCTTGACATACCCCTTCAAAAGCTCATGCTCACCAATCATTCAACACAAATCTGTTGTAAGTAAACAGTGAATTATAGAGAGCATTAAGCCAACTTTACAGTTATGAAGAAATTTCTAGAATAGGTTCCCCCCCTAAACTCTGGTGCTTTTCAGTTGATCTTAGGTATTTCTATTTTCCCTGTTCCTTCTTTCTGCAACATACACATTATTTATTCTTCATAGCATTGATATAGCATTGATGATTTTCATGGCAGTGGCAAGAAGTAATACAGCCATGTTTTGACTATATAATAATAAATATTTAATTTTTCACAGATATAATATTATTTACATTGACCAGAAACACTAGGCTTCCTATACATTGACTTATTTTATTTTATTCATTCAAATGCTGGCACCTGAAAGACCAATACAAGGAATGGTGAATACCCTTTTGGTAAAGTTAATATTGTTACTTTTTGTCATATTTGGCTGATATATCACTGTATCTTACAACAGAAAGTCAGATGAAAGTTGATTCTTAATTTTTGAATTTTTTTAGTCAAAATTCTTATTTTTATACTTCAAGGCCTGGTCTGCATGTCTCTATCCTTCATTTCCAGGTTCTTTTGATCATTCTTTCTGTCTTCTGCACTTTTTTTAAAAAGTAATTTTTTAGCTGTAGATGGACACAATGTATCTATCTATCTATCTATCTATCTATCTATCTATCTATCTATCTATCTATCTATTTATATGTGGTGCTAAGGATCGAACCCATGGCCTCATACATGCAAGGCAAGCACTCGCACTCTACCACTGAGCCACAACCCTAGCCCCTCTTCTGCACTTTATAAAAATACTCTTTTCACCATGGTGAAAGGGAGAGCCCAAACTCACCATTAAGCATCCAAGTTGACTCAGGCTGCACTTTGTTCTCCTAGCAACACCTGCTGTGGCCCTTTGATGCCTGAGGTCATGCTTTATACTACTCAAATCTCTATTGCCTGGCCTTAGTGTCCATAGCAGTCACAGTGGTGGTTTCTAAGTGACGACTGGATGAATACCTAATTTCACAACTTATGGTTGCTTACCTCTTTAATCTGAAACATATTCCAACCTGGACTGGATCATTTTGAACTTCTGTCAAATATTCTTTATACCAAGTACAATGCAGTATATACACTGTTATTCAATGAATGTTTGTGAGAACTAAACAGTTGTATATTTTGGAGCCCTCTCATGAAGAAGCCAAAATTTGGCACACAGTTATTTCAAATCTATGCTTGTTCCAATTAGTCAAGTCAAGGAATGAATTTTCACCCTGAAGACTAATCATTGATTCAACAAATTGGTTACTGGGGTTATACTCTCTTGAACTTCCTGTGGCTGAAATGTTTTATGACCATTCCAGAGGTAGAAAAATATTTGGCAATCCATTTGTGTTTCTTAAAATATTTTATTTATTATTTTTTTGTAGTGCTGGGGATCGAACCCAGGGCTTCAAACGTGCTGGACAAGCACTGTACCACTGAGCTACATCCCCAGCCCTTAATATTTAAGTATAAACCTTCCTCTTTAGAGAGTATTATTGATCAAGTTCAACAGATGTTTACTATGCTTGCAAACAACTATCGAACACCTTGTATGTGACAGGAATGGAGATCTATGTGAAAGTGGCAATTTTCATGTTACTTATAATTTGGTAGACAAAGATAGAAATAAACCCATATACTGTATGATAAATTCTACAATAGAAGCAGGTATCAGGAACAGATAAACAAGGAATAATTAACTCTGCAGAGGCATTAAGGAAGCCTTCCTGCAAGAAATTACTCTTGAGAGCAGTTTCTGTCTTTTAGATGACTGTAATGAAGGGAAAATGCCCCTGATGTGCTTAATATATTTATTTATAAAGCAGTGTCATATTGTAAAGAATAAACTTTTAAAAAGCAAATATCTGAAAAGCTTTTGACTCCTCAGTTTTGCACCTAAATTCACCTCCATGCTCTGTGGTTTTGAAATATCTGAGGAACAGCTGAATCAAACCCTATTGTATTAATGAATTTATATATGCGCACATGTCTAATATATTTCCTGCTCCCAATTTTTATGGTTTCATAAATAGGTCTATCACCAACATTTCTTTAAAAAAATGAAGAAAAGAGCTCATATATGTGAGTAGAAATTCAGTGTATTTTATAGAACACTGCTACTTCTTGATATAGCCTACGGGATGTGACTTTTCATAAAAGCCTAATGAATTTCTAGATTTGTCAGCTGTTTCCAAACAGATGCACTCTGCTAATCTAATGGAAACATTTTGAGCCCAGATCCCAAATATCAATAGCTTTTAGTATTGCAAATTAGTTTGTCTATTGGGTAAATTGGGCTGTGTGGTTCTTGATAAAAAGAAGCAAGTAATTTTGTATGGATATTTTATGTGCAACTGTCTTTCCAGTGTTTGATGCTCATATTTTTCTTTGCAGAGTTTCAAGTTGAATGTAGACAGCCATTGTGCTCTCAAGGAAGCTGTGGAGGAGGAAGGACACCAACTTCTTGAGCTTATTGCATCCCACAAAGCAGGTAAATCCTCCTGAAATATTGCAAGTCTTTATGTCTCCAGACTATTAAGAATGAAGAAGCATTGCTGTAAATTACTGCATATATTCACTTCCTTATGTATTATTAATATTTACATTATCAGATTGACCTTCAAGATTTATAAATGTTTCATATACTGCATACAATGCTGTGATACTTATAAGATGAAATACTGCTTCCAAATGGTCTGTTCATTTTATTTTGGGCTTGCTGTTCGCCTGAGCTTCAATTGAAATCACATTCTTGAAAACTTCACATTGACATGCTTTTTGATGTAGGTGCTCTGGAAATAACATTAAGATAATGAATGAGAATTGTACATATAGTTACAATGCATATGCGTTAAGGTGCTTATAGATATCATTACAGATATAAGGCAGGCAGTCTAGACATATCTGATTATTTCCCAGCCAATTCACACATATGAACATTTTGTGTTCTTTGCTGGTCTTTGCATTAGCAGGATTTTGGGCCTTCAACCAATTCTTAGCCCAGTATTAATGTATTTAAGAGGAACAGATTACAAATAAAAAAATCATTTTGTCATCATTTGCTATACTTATCCTGGTAGTAGAAGATCATAAGACAGGATGAGTTACAGTTTGGCTCTTTGAGCTTACTACAGCTAAATAGGAAAAGCACAGCATTAATCGGATGTGTTAAAGACTGCTGTGTTACTTCCGGCCCATTTACTGTATTTCTCATTGAATTAACTTTACCTATTTCAATACATCTTTCTGATCATTATAATGCCCCTACACAGATACACAGGCCCTTTCATTTGAATGAGAAACTATAGTGTTAATAATCTTTATGCATTGTGATTTTTGTTCCACATGCCTTTTTTTTCAGTCAATAGCTGAATTTAAGTCTGTTTCCAAAGCATGTGGTTATTCTATTTTTTTATCATTATATATTGTTTCAAAAATTGCCACTCTCTTTTCTGAGTGACAAGTGCTAATGTGGCAGGTGATGGCAAGGTCATTTAAAAACATGTATAGCATTTGAAATAGCCAACTAATTTACTACAAAAAAAAATAATGGGTAAAGATTTAATCAGATTCCCAACTTGTGCTTTCCTCTCTTTTTGGAGAAGGACTGAAGGACATGCTGCGGATGATTGCAAGTCAATGGAAGGAGTTGCAGAGGCAAATCAAACGGCAACACAGCTGGATTCTCAGAGCTCTGGATACCATCAAAGCAGAGATACTGGCTACTGATGTGTCTGTGGAGGATGAGGAAGGGACTGGAAGCCCCAAGGTAAGTGGCTTGAAGTTTGCCTTATTTCCTCTCATTTCTGTCTTCTTTTGAACTATGCACCACTGAAGTTTTCTTTCCACCCCTAAGGCTTTTCGTGTCTAGTGGGTAAACTTTATATATCTATCTCTCTATATATAAACAAAACGAAGTGGCTTGGTTTAAAACAATGAAAAAAAGGAGGGGGAAAAGCCTACAACTTTCAAGTTTTACAGGAAGAGGTCTTTTTGTAAAAAGTGGCAGGTTAGGAGGGGGACAGTACTTTAGGGGTGGGAGAAAAGGGGACATAAAACATTTAGTAAACAAAACATAAAGCATCTTTAACATGAATAATCAGAATGGTTTTAAATTGTTTTGTTGCAACTATAAATCACTATAATCAGTGCAATCACTCAGCTCTGACATCCATTAGCCGCTTGGTTACAGCAAATTAACAAAGAAGAGAGAAAGTGATTCATTATCTCATTCCTGTTAATGACTATCAGATGCATTGCCTAATTAGGGGATGGTCATTGTAGTGGGAAGAAGGTCATATGCTTTGCTACAAATCTTTTTGCTCTGAGTGTAAGTTCTCTATAATGGTGCATGCACCGAATACAACAAGTATTTTAAAAATGAGTATTGACATGTTTTGGTTATCCATTTTATATTTACAAAATAACCCATGCAGCGTATGCATCTGAACTTTAAATGAGACACCTTTCAGTACAGAGTGCTACTGTTCTAATGATATCTTTGGACTCACAATGTGGAAAATAATTTTATTCATTTGATATTTTTCTATAGTTTTGTCTTACTTTTGTTATCTGTGTTTCCTAAGAGACTTCGCATTGAAACATATCATAACAAGGGGGAAATAGATTTAAGAGTTCCTGGTTTCTTTTCCTGGCATGGACAAAGCAAGTAAATGATTATCAAATCACAGTTCTTCAGTATCCATGTGGATTGGCATTGTGCTAAATGTATACAGACCAAGTTAAACAAGCACTTTGCCCTGTTAGACTCAAATTCTTAAATGCAGACAGAGGAAAAACCAAAATCAGCCCTGCAATGCTGAGACCCATGCAGACAGTGAAAAGCTCAGGCGATTTACAGCTTTGGAACCTCAAACCACAACCTTTAGCTTATTTGTTGGAAACAGAGGATGGAATGATGAGCTCAGTTTTACTTTAAGAAGGCTCCATGGAGGAGGTCACATTTCAGGAAATACTTGAAGGAAGGAAGAGAGGTGGCTTGGCACATGAGCACATACTTTAGGAAGTGATGTGATGAAAGGATCAAAGCTGCAACTAATAACGTGGAATGGAGAGTGTATTCAGCAAACTTGGAGTTATTTTAAGGAGCAGGCTACAGGGAGAAATTGTGCAAAGCTTTGGCTTTGTGGGGATGGGAATAGGAAGAAGGAAGATGAAAAAGGATACAACTGAAAACTCGGTTGTGTTTTATTTATTTAACAGAAAGGATACTGAGTACTTATTCTTTAAGGGCTGTCCTATATTAGGTACATTCTGTGTGCAAGACAATAATTTATATTCTATATTCTCTTATTTCATCATCTCAACAGAATTATATAACCCAGTTCTACTATAATCCCCAGGGGAGAAAATGGAGGTACAAAGAGGTTAAGCAATTTGCTAGAGGACATATAGCTACTAAATAGCAAGACTAGGATGTGAATCTGTACCTTTTAGTCCTAGAGTCCACGTTTGTTAGCACCTAGCACATTTCCTTTCACTGATATTGCTCAAGGCCAACTGTGATGCCAGGCATTAGGGATGACTCAGGGCCTAACTCATGGAACTTATGGTGAAGTTGGAGAGACAGACTGTAATGTCATAATACATGCTTTGATAAGAGATTGGGGTGGGAGAAGTGATTTAGATCAGGGCATCAGAGAGGGCTTCTCTGAGGAAGTGACATCTGTGTGTTTACAGAAGGAGGAGTTAGGGGAAGCTGGGTGTTTTGTTATCAGGTAAGAGGAGGGTTTTGAAGAAATCAAGGAAATGACACCCAGTTGAGGTGTATAAAAACCTGTTCCTGGATGTAGTGACCAATGGAGTGGGGCGAGTGAGAGCAGGGTGATGGATATGCCAGCCTGGAACTCCTGAGATGGCAAAATCACCTAAATTCATAAAAGCACTTTTTTGACAATGGAGAATCCCAATCAACAGAGTCAGTTTGAAATAGACAGTTCTAAATCAACTTATTTTATAGGGAGGTATTGAGAATGAAGAATATAACCTAGAGAAAAGTATTTTCACAATAGAGATGATGTTAGCATTTCTCAAAAAGAGGGACTGCTTGGCCACACCCCTCCTCAGACCAAATCAGACCCTCCTAGAGGGGCCCATGAATTGCATTTCAACAAGCTCCCAGAAAACCACTGAAATAGGCTCTAAGAAGGCCATTTTCCTGCAGAACTACACACAACATGAAAAAGAAAGAAGGTTTGTTGCATTGTTACTTATAATTATGAACAGTTTAGTATCAGCTGAAATTTTTTCAAAACTGGGAATGTTTAATTTATACTATATATTATTCTAATGAAAGATTTACATAGTTATTAACAATGTTTTAGAAGAAATTTTAAAAATTGAAAGATAATACCTGGTGTGGTAACACATGCCTGTAATACCAACAGCTTGGGAGGCTGAGGCAGGAGGATCACAAGTTCAAAGCCAGTCTCAGCAACTTAGTGAGACCTTGTCTCAAAATAAAAAATAAAAAGGGCAGCGGTTAAGTGCCCCTGAGTTCAATACCTGGCACACAAAAATAAATAAATAAATAAATAGATCATAAGAGACCTATAATATGCAGTTACATATTTTAAAATATATTTTTAAATATCTTTCAATTTTCCAAATCTCTACACTTGGCAAGAATTATTGTAAACCAGAAAAAAAAGAATACATGTAAAATATAAATATTAATGCTTTAAAGGGTAAATAGGTGACACTAAACTCAGGAGACTTATTAAGATATGAACCCAAATATAAGGAGGGAAAATAAATACATCTAGTTTTTAATGATTTGGGTGCCTCACTTCTTTAAACAACAACCACAATAATATGAAATTTATTTGAATCATTCCAAAAGTGAAAATGCCTGGAGTCATATCAGTTTACAAAGAGAATAACATACTTTTTTCTTATTGATAGCAGTTTTGTTCTGAAGCATTTTAATGTCACATTATCTGCACAATGTAGTGTAGCTAAAAGTAGATACAATAATAAGCTTTTCTAGGTATCTATGGATGTGGAACCTGAGGGAGGCACTGAGAGTTTTGAGACTTTGACATGCAAAAGCCAGCAGAACTCTAGGCCTTCAATCTCCCAACTACTTCTCTCTTTCCTAGTCTGAGATAAATTTTCTCTGTTTAAATAAACACATACATATTCAAGGGTGAATGTAGAATCAATTTAAGACAAAAAAATATATTTCTCAATTTAAGCTTAGGAAACTATGGAAAAATCAGAATGATCATTCTTTTGTTTAATGTTTATGAACTGCCTCTCTTAGTCTCTGGGGCAAACACAGTAATAGAGAGGCTCAAACTGTGAAGTCAAACTGCCTGGGTTCAATGACTGGCATTTACTATTTGGGTGTCCTTGGGGAAGTTACTTCTTTATGTCTCAGGTTCCTCATTTGTAAAATAGAGGTAATGATAATATTCACCTCAAAGGATTATCACTCAAACTGAAAAGAGGTAACATTCCTAATGTACTTAGAGCAGAACCTGGCATATAGTAAATCCTAAATAAGGGAAATGTATTATACAAGACTTCATATTCTCGTGATGGAGAAAGTAAGCAAATAATTATAATATATCTGGTAAAACTGGTACAAAGGGCTGTGAGTACACAGAGAAAGAAATAATTAATCTTTTCTGAGGATATTGAGGAAAGATTTGCAGAGGAGTTGATGTTTTGAAGGGTAGAAGAGTTTTTGCTAAGGTGAAAATAATAGGCAAAAAGAAGAGCTTGTATAAAACCTGCAAGTATAAAAATACATGTTATGTTCAGAACCCAGGACTGTGTCATAGATGATTAGGCTGGCTTGCCATAGTCTGCACTGAGCCTCACAACATGACCAAAAAAAAAAAAAAGATTCTTAATGATTGTTGGTTCAAACAATAATTGACACAATCCAAGCCAGAGTGAGCTTTCCATATTGAATATATAGGTATATGTACACAAACACTGTTAAAAAAGAAAATTTTCTTACCATATCACACCAAATAGTGCAAATTTAAATAGTTTACATTGAAGTTCTTTAAGACTAAAATCAGGATTTGGCTTCTTATCCATAATATCAGTCCCCTTTCCATGATGTGACCTTGCACAGGTCATGTACAAATTGTGCCATGAAATGCATCTCTAAGTATAGCAGTTATGATCATCTATTTCATCTTAGACCTAAAAGAGGAACTGAAATTAAAACATAATAAAAATAACTCCAGAATTCATCTTAGGTTTACTTCAGAAGCTACTGGGAGCTTGAGAAGCATAATAGAAAATCTAAGGAATATATCTAGGGGGTATTTTTCTTTTTTACCTTGTTTGAGAGACTGCAGAAAAGGACTTGGTCTTAGAAATCTTGTAAAGAAGGAGGATAGGAGGAAATTCAAAGACTCTGGGAAACTTCTCCCCCAGGACTTGGCAGCATACCTTATTTGTTGTATTTCATTTTTTAAAAAAGTGTTTTCCCAGGACTGTGAGATCTTTTATACATGGAAATAGAGAACAGAACAGTTGTAGAAATAGAGCTTCGGTACTCACATCCTAAAATTGAAAATATGCTTATAATTATGTATTTTATTTTAGCTAGATTGGTAAAAGTTTATCTCCTTAAACTACGCTTTCTGTATGTTAAATCTTTTAATGGTGTATATAGCTGGAGGGATTTCAAAACACAGTGAATATCCAATGTCCTGCAAAGGCTATATTATTTTTTGACCTTTCAAGGCATGAAACAAAAATCCTAAAAAAGCAAGCATTTACAGA